GGAGCAGAAGGCATGTGACAGTAGATGTGTGACCTGCACTCCACTGTGACCACTGTCTGGCCTCTGTTCCTCAGGGTGCATACTCTCCCTCGAGGATAACTGGTTTTCCTTTTCACTGGTCCAGCAGTTCTGGACTTCCTCTGGCTCTTTACCACCACGGAGTCAACCCATTAGGTCAAAGAAAAGGAAATCAAAGCACAAGGAAGGGATTTCAGGGGGTCTAATTGTTCCCCAAGATACACTGTATACTCAAGATAGACTCCCCCCCAGCAACTGGAGAGGGGAAGTCCTAACAGTGCCCAGACACACCCCACTGTCTGAAGGCCAAGCTAGCAAACTGGAAAAGGGACCAGACTGACTTACTGGATCCAGCTCCCCTTGACCGAGTCCCTAATCTGAGCTGGCATTGTGCCAGGTACTTTCTGCATGTTTATTTCACTGCAATATCCTGATATCATTATGCCCATTTTACAGATGAAGAAACCAAGGGATGGAGAGATGAAGTCTCTTCAGGCAAATCACACAGCAAGTAACCGGCAACAGAAATTCCAAGCCCAGCCTGTCTGAGAATTTGATGTGAAGGGAAAACGGATCTGCTAAGTCAAATCCAAGGGTCCACGTAAGATTTGTACCCATTTTTGTCCTCTTTAGTCTGTAGGTGTATGGTCTGCACCCAGAGAGGCAGAAGGAATAGGAACGTTCTGCAGTGGGACTAAAGAAGGGAACAGGAGTCAGCTCTTTTCTCTCTAAAAAGACAGCTGAAGAGGAAACAGGCATTTGGGACTGGAGCTCATACCTGGGCTCTGTCAACCCAACGGCCTGTGGGACTTTGGACTAAGTCACTCCAACTTTCTGAGACTGTTTTTCCTCATTTGTAAAACAGAGGTGATAGATGATGCCCACCTCCCAGGTTGATTGTGATAGTGAAACTCGGAGGCACAAGGCAAGCGCCTAGCACAATGCCTGGACCTTGGAGGCACCCAGGAAGTGCTGGTTTCCTTCCTGCCCTTCAGTGTCCCCAGTCCATAAAGCCAAGACTGAGCTCTTTGGAAAATGATGTCCAATAATAAGAGAGAAGTTTACTGAGTGCTTACTATATACACCAAGTCCAGTTCTGTGTACTTTGCAGGTGTGAGCTCATTTAATGAGATAGGTATTCATGCCATCCTCACTTTATAGATAAGGAAGCTGAAGACCAGAGGAATCAACTAGCTTGCCCAAGGTCACCCAGCCAGTTAGAGGCAGAAGTGGATTTCCACAGGTAAACTGACTACTAAAACTGGTTTTTAGCCATTGCAATGTTCTAGACCCCAGGTGTGACTACAAATCTTGTTGGGAGAGCCATGTTAGTATATAGACTCCTTGAAACCTAGCCTTCCCCTGTCACAGCAATTCTAAAGTTGGTAAAATGTGGGCACTCTTTTCGGGGGGTCATCTCGGTAGTAGGAAGTGGGGGCTGCTGACATGTAGAAATAAAAGGATTCCTTAGAGGAGCCAGGAAACTCAACAGTCCAACATTTAGAACAAAAGAGGAAAGCGTATTAATCAGAGGTGCTGGACGGGATTCAGGTAAATCCTTTTCTCCTTCTGAGCAGGGATTCTGGCACTAAGGGATGGGGGTGGGAGGAGGGCAGCACTTGTGGGGTCCACATTGCACTTATCTAACAGGTCAGGAGAAACTTTAACAAGATTAACTGCTGCTCAGGGCCCCTGCTCGATGGAGCAAATTGAGTCTATTGTTTTCTTTTTCTTCTGCTTCTTTCTCTTTCTTTCAAACGGGGGTGGGGGGAATGGTTGGGGATGATGGGCAGGGAGCTGGATCCCGCCTGGTATGGTACAAAAGCAAAGGGATGTGTCAGAAGGCCCCCCACCTCCAGACTTGAAAGGGAGCCCAAATTGCCATGCACGAAGGCTTAAGGCTGTGCCTGGGTGGTGGGTGTGTGGGGGGTGAGAGGTGATAGTGTTTTATCAGACAAGCTCTCTCAGCAGTCTAGGGGCTAAGGCCTCGAAGTCATGATGCTCAGGATTAACTCCTAGTTCCTGTCATTGAGGAGCTGTGTCATCCAACACACACCCCTCCCCCCTCCGGGTCTCTGTCTTCCTATTTGGCCAAAGAAAGAACTGGCCTGGGTGACTTCTGAAGACCCTTTTCACAGTAGCCTTAAAGGATTCCTAAAGACCACCTATCCTTGGTGGGCCCTCCGAAGTATCCAGCACACAGGCACTCTCTAACTTTGTCTTTGTTTTTGTCTGCATGAGCCTTTCCTTTTTTATTTATTAACACGTATATTTTTTCTTCTTCCCTTTCAGAAAAATAAAAGGCATGTTTTCTGAGCTTCAGAAGCAAACTGCTCCTGACTCCTTCCCTCTGCATCTCCGAGCGCCTGTCTGAACTGGTGTCAGTGAAGTTTGAACCGGGGCAGAAATAGCATCCCGGGCGGATCTGGGAGCACAGCCCGCCTACTAGGAGCGACAAGGCCTACCTCTGCCAGACGACAGACCCGGTTAACAGCACCGTAAAATTAGACCTTTACGAAAACCAATTGAATCCTGCAGCAAAGAGTGATGTCAGGCAGCCTGGCCTGACAGCAAGGCAGCAACCCTCTGCCTGAAATAGCAGCGCGGTCCCTGCTGAGAGATGCCTGCTCTCTCTCTCTCAAGATAGGTGACTAGGGATTCCTACGAAAGTGGCGACGCCCAGCCAGAGAGAGGCAGCAGAGGTCAGGCAGCAAACTGGGCACCCGAGGTCGCCGCGGGAGGACGTGGCTTGGCACCCACATCCCCACTGCCCACCTCGGGCCTGCCTCTGCCAGCCTGAACTTACGCAAAGAAAGGAGCTGAAAAAGTGCTTCTGCAAAGAACCCCTGTTTGTTTGCTTTTTAATTCAAGGAGAAGCAGGTTCTTTTTAGTCCAACAGTCTGCACTGTGTGGAGGATACGCAGAATGAGTCTTTTCTGGCTCAGGGCCAGGTGTTTACACACCGCCAAATCTGGCTCAGACTCAACTGGGGGAGGGAAAAGAAATCCACCAGAATCCTCGGGAGAAAAGCTCCTGGCTTTCTCGTGCTACACGACAGGCTGTGCCTTTTTTTTTTTTTTCCCCTCGTTTTGAGAGGAATGTTATTTCCACACATAAAATGGACCAGGCATTTTATACAAGCAATAATAACCTAACATCCCCCATCCAATTAAAGTATTTTACTGCACAATCTTTGTGTGACAGAGTGAATGACTGCTCAAGAGAACGCGTGTGAAGAGAGGCTCCTTGTCTGAATTACAGACATTTATAAAGCAGGCTCCTGTGGAATCCCAGGTGTTATATATTTTAAAAAAATGCATTCACTACCTTTTCATTGATGATACCTATTCAGCCCTGGGCTCTCCCCTCCGTAGGGGAAGCCTTCCAAATTATTGGTATGACAAATAAAGACTAGGAAAAATCAGATCTACTTTTTTTTTAATCATCTCCAAGCAGTAGGCTCTGTGCCTTTCCTACGTTCCGAAAGAGAAGTGAACATAACGACCACAGCCCTAAATTATCACCACCATCATTATTATTATGAATAAGGTTTCTCCTCTATACGTTATATATACCCCCACTCTGAGTGACTAGGACTTGGGGGCTAAAAGTGAATGAGCTCAGTTTCCCTCTCCTTCCTGGGGAAAAAAAAGAGAAAAAATAGCAAGTGATGACGTCAGATGTGGGGGAAAGTCACTTTCCTGCTCTCTGTCTGGTAGCGGCGGAGTGGGAGCTCTGGGGGCATATTCTTGGTAAAGCGCCAGAGTTTGGGTCCCCCGAAATGGACTTCATGTAAATAGGATGGAGTCAGCGCAACGTTTGAGAAAGCCCACGCCGAGACAGAGAGCAGCAGAACTGCCGGAAGAGCTCAGAGCTTTCCCCTCTAAGAAAGTGTGTGTGTAAAGGGGTGGAATCGCAGAACGCCTCCACACGTTTCCTGGCTCGAGTGAAGGGGGAACCCCTACTCTCAATTTAAGACGTCCTAGGACATGGCAAGACTGTTTGTGCAGGAAGGGAATCTCCCAGCCAGAAGAGGCAAAACTTTGCTTCTCTCCTCCAGCGCCGCCCCCCTCCGCCCCCCAGTTTTATTAAAGGCATTGCCATAGATTCATTTGGGGGGCGGGGGGGGGATGGATGTTGAAGCATTTCTAAGGTTTGCAACCCTTGCAAAGTGTCCGGTTTCACTATGGGTTTTGCTGTGGAACGGCGAAGGGGAGAGAGAGGGAGGGTGAGAGGGAGAACTCAAATTCATTACGGGCTCATAAAAGTCCCAAATGAGAAATGCGCCCCGTTTCGCAGCCGAGTCGGGGAAAGACTGGCGGAGTGTGCGTTAGGAAGGTCTCGCCTGAGCCCCGAGTGACAGGCAATGGGCTTTAAAAGCCAGGACATGGGCTGGCGGACTGTGTGTGTGTGTGCGACTGGGGGGAAGCGGGTGAATCCCAGAGGCGGCATCAAGCAGAGAGCAACTTTGGGGCACTTCGAGGACTTCTAAGTCCTGGCGATCACAACAACCTTGTCTTTGCAGGCTTTCAGCGTAACGCGGCCAAGCGAAGGGAGGTCACCTCCATTAAAAAGTCAAAGAAATCAATGGTCCCCGAGCCTCTTCACACATGCATCCCAACTGGGTCATCCTCCCCTCCATCTCAAACACAGACAGTACGTCTGACCATCCTGAACACGGTTTGCGTGCACTAGGCTCCCCGGGGACCAGCCTTCACTGACTGCGGGTCTCGGGGCAGCCAGGAGCGCTCTCCGTGCTCCTCCCGGGAGGTAGGCGGAGACGCCTTCCGAGTGCGCCCATTCCGCAGATGGGGCAAAGCGAGGCTCACAGCTCCCCTCGGGTGCCGCCGAGCCGCCGGCGGAGCGACTCCCGCACAGATACACCCGCAAGCCCCCGACCAGCCCGCCACCCGCGCCCAAGCACCCGCGCGCCTCTGGGGACACGGGGACGGTGCGGCGCCCACCCCGGCGCCCTCGCCTACCTGTGATCACCGCCGGAGATCTCTGGCCCCCCTCCGCTCGTAGCCACACTTGCAGCGTGAACGCGTCCCGGGGCAGCTCGAGGTCGGCCCGGAGGCGCAGCTGCTCGCCTCGCCCGCTGAAATAGAGCGCCCGGCTCGGCGGGCTCGGCTCCTCGGCGGCGCCCCTCGCCTCCCGCTGCTGCCGCCGCCGGGGGACGCGCACGGCTTCCCAGGCACCGCCCGGCGGCGGCGGCGGCGGCGGCGGCGAGGCGCGGCGGCCGCGGGCCGCCCGGGTGGCGCAGGTGGCCGGGCCGGCGGCGGGCGCGGGGGGCGGCCGGCCCGCGGGTCTCTCCGGGCCCGGCGGGGGCGCTCGGCCAGCCCGCAGCCCAGCGCGGCGCTCAGCAGCCCCAGGCGCAGCACCCAACTCCAGAGCCGCATGTCCGACGGTCCCCCCCGCCCCCCCTTCGCCCCTGCACCGCCGCCCGGAGCTGCCAGCTTTGGGAGCCTCAGCGCCTCGACTTTCTTCGCTTCTTCACCCTTCTTGGGCGAGCCCCCCCTTCCACTTGCTTTTTTCTTTTCTTTCTCGCTTTCCTCCTCAAGGTGTGTGCTCCACTCCCCCCACCTTTGAAAAATACAGCCCAACTCCTCCTGGTTGGCAATTAATTTCTCTCCCCGCTCCTTTATCTGCCTTATTTTCCCCCTCTAACAGCTGGTTGCCTTCCTTCTTGTTTTATTTCATTTTATTTTATATGATTTCTCGCTCTTACAAAAAAAAAAAGCTCCTCTAAGACACTGTTTCGCTGAATTCCCTCCCCCCAAAAGATGCTCTAATTTATTTATTTTTTGCGTCCTTTATAACACAAGCCACAGCCCCCTTCTCCCCCCCCCCCACCCCCCCTCCCCTCCCTCCTTCTTCACAAAATGAAAGGAAAGAGGGGGGAAAAATCCCTCAGAAGATGAGTAAACAAGCGTATGCTAATCTGCTCCCGAGCGCTCCACCTTCCCAATTGAATGAGTCCCTGTTAAAACTGCGGGGATCATGACTAATCAATCAGTTTGGAGAGGCCGAGCTAGCCAGCCTTCCTTCACTTTGCCGTTTGCCTCCTTCGCTCCCGCCTCCACCCCCCCACCCCCCGCTTTTTTTTAAAGAAGACAATCTTAAAGTAACAATTTAATGAAATTCTGTACACACCCCCTTATGGTCCTCCCAGCTCTCCTCATTCCTGCTCCAAACACACATTCCTGTTTTTGTTTTGTTTTGCTTGCTTTTTTCCCCCTCCTTTACCCCCTCCCTATTTTTTTTTTTTTTCCTCCTGGCGGGAGAAAAATCTCTCTCTCCTCTCAGGATCCCCTTTGCACTTTGCTGGTAAACCTCATCCTTCCCTATAGCACATAAAGAGTCTTGAAACTTGATTCTCAGATTTGTTGTAACGCTGTCTCTTTCTCCCTCTAGCTCTTCACTCTAATCTTTCTCACTCACTCTCTCTCCCTCCACTCCCTTTCTCTCGCTCTTCTTCTTTCCCCTCTGTCCTGTCTTCCCTTTGCTCTTCTCCCTTTCCCTCTTGGAATTCCCTTAAAGTTAGCCAGTGATGAACATTCTCCTCTTCCCTGAGCCCCCGGTGCTGCTGGCTTCACTTAGCCCAAACGTGGTCTCCAAAGTCCTCACGGAGTGATCAGAAGCAACCAGAGGAAAGGCATTTTCCGAAGCTTTAGACTCAGTACAACTAGGTCTCTCAATGCTCTTGAACACTCTTAAAAATACTCTGTCGGTTGTTAGAAATGATTTTAGTTTTATATAAAAAAATGAGAGAAAAATATTAACCTGCCTTCTTTTTCAGCCTGAGGTATTCAGGTCCTTTGACACTGTTCAAGTCACAGGTAAGGATCTGACCATTTGCGGCTTTGTAGGTCTGTTTTGAACTGGGACATATATGTAATGTATTTTTGTTCTTCTTTTTCCCCCTCTTTATAGAACTCAAAAGCTCCCCCTTATGGCAAATCAGTTCCTTTTTTTTCTCTCCAAGTGTTTAATAAGTCAAAATGAGTTAGCAGTGGTGGATTGCAAATTATGAGTTACCAGTCTGTTCAAGTAAGTTAGTGATAAAAATATGTGGTGTGAGGTTTGCATGTGGAGAGCATGCTAGAAGCCCAAGGTGAAATTAACTCCGCTAATGTACAGTATTCCTCCCCATGTGTTCCTGTCCTCGGGGCTGCTCCAGATCCTTCCTGAGAGCTGGGATCATTCCTGCACGCTTCAGGAAGAGTGAACACCCGTGGAGAATATGTGTTGGTGAAAGTATGCAGATTTGTAGAATGAGTAAATGACTCAGACGTCCCCTCTATAAAAACCAGAATGTGGTATGCAAGGATTATGGCACCATTCTGAAAACGGGAGATCTCGGATTCAGATCTTCTTGGTTTGGGAAGAACTTGCTATATAGTATTAAGCCAAGAATGTGTGAACTCAGTTTCTCCAGTCATAAAATGAAAATGGCATTATATCCTAAATGCGTTTCCAGAGACTGACTAAAAGAAGAGGCTCTTCTGTGCACAATGCCTTGGATAAGAAATTTGCCTAAGCAAATCTTCCACTTTCTGCAACTCCAAGTCTCTCAGAAAAGTCATGAGGTTGACATTCCATTTTAAGAAGACCTATGTTGAACTACATAAACTATATCCTGCAAGATCCCCGTCTTTGCTCAATAGAGTTTGGAGCATCACTGCTAAATCACTTCAATGGTGGCAATCAGGCATTTGGAAACTGTGTTTCTTCCAGGGGCTTCGAAGTCATTGTATACAATAGTTTTGAATATTTCTAGACATTTGGGACTTTTTCAACTCTCCCACCGAGAGCCAGAACATGAGAGTGATGGCTCCGAGTCCCCACTTACTCCAACACATACCAGTGCTATGCCCCAAGTGAGTTTCTTCACTAGTCCTTTACTTCCTTACCTTTACAATGGGGATATCTATTTCACAAATTCATTTTGAGGAAAAAATACACTTTGGGGTATAATATTGTGTATACTATAAAGGTGCTATATAAATACCAAATATCCTACTGTTGTTGTCAAGGACCAAGTGGTCCCTAGGTTCTTAAAGACAGACAAAAATTCCGAAGGCCAACTTATTTCTCTCCTGTGGCGGGCACAAAGAGGGAAGGACAGAGCAATCCAAGTCTTGTAGCATCTGGAGCTTCTTGACCTCACTCCCTAGATGCAATAGGAGGAACTGGCAAAGAGCCTTTCACTGGTCTTTTCATTGAACAAGCATCTACCAATCTACCCCACCTGTCTTGGAAGCCACTTTTATGTATGTATGTATGTGTTTGTTTTTAACTGAGTGAATAGAACTGGATGAATTGTAACACTTGGTTTGTGATCCACCCTAATCATTGGTCTGTGAATGACATTCTTATTTATTTACATGTAATAAGTAATACATCATATGCTGTTATCTCTCTTTTACTCCATCTCCTGATCTTTCATGGATTTGTCCCTTCTCCTTTTATCGTTTGTAATCAAAGAGCAATCATCTGAGAGTTAGATGACTCAGGTTCTAATTCTGACCTGTGTGGAATCTTTGACCTCAGTTTGCTCTTCTATAAAATGAAAGATAAGAGTTGAAGATTCCTAAGATCACTTCCAAATCTGAAGTGTAATGGAGCCCGCAGTTATTGGAGCATGGCAATAGTTCCCACCTAATCATCCTGTATTTGGTCAATTCTCCCCACTCCCCAGGGAGTCCTTTGTTTCTGGGGATTTTTATCCTAAAAACTACTTTTTGGAGCAAAAATAGTTCTCTTCCTCCACTCTTAGGATATACTCCTTTAATATTCATTTTATTTGGTAATAACTAAAAGCAAGATATTTTTCCAGGGAGGGTGTCAGGGTCTACAGGCAGTTGTGAGAGTGACACCTGAGTGGAGCCCTAAAGCTTGGGAAGGGTCTGAATGAGTGAGGGTAGTTCCAAGCATACATTTCAGACTCATACTGACCTGGGTTCCTATGACCTTCAACAAGCTGCTTAATTTCTCTGAGTCTCAGTGACCTTATCCTGGAACTGTCATGTGCTGTGTGACACATAGTAGGTGCTCAATAAATGAGCACCCTCCCTCCCTTTCCAGGGGTCTAAATTTTATGGTCCCTTGGGCGGCTGCCCGCTTTCATCTAGAGCCCAAGGTCTTCCTACTTCTTACTCCAAGCCAGAAGGATTGTGCTCATCTCAGAAGTCCTGGGCAAGCATTGTCTGTCTAGTAGAATCTGGAACTCGATTAGATAGGACCTGGCATTGTTCTTGGTGTCCTGTTCAAGACTTTCCTCCAAGATTAGAACCCTTCTAGGGCAAGGATCTTCAAGGGCCAGTTCTGTCCCCACACACTCCCCCACCAGCCTGAAGGGCTCCCTCCTCTGGGCTCTTGTAGAACTTCTTCTGAATTTCTCTGGGCACATCCCCAAAGCCAGCTATCACACTTAATCACGTACCTGCTTGTGTCCCCTTTCCATGTGAGACAGAGACTCTGTTGCATTCGTATTTGTGTTTCCCCAAATGCCTAGCCCAGAACTTTGCACACAGTTGCTGGTTCAGAACTGTTAAATGTATACATATGTATATATATATAGAGAGAGAGAGAGATTTGTAAGTCTATGTAGACACATACATGTATGTATGTACGTGTACTTTTGATTCTCTAGGCTTCTTTAGTTTTTCCTGTGATGCCAATATATTCAGTGTTATGAACATATTAGTTTCTTAATAAATATTTAATTTCCTCATTTTTTCAGCCTCCCCTTTCCCAGAAAATGTATCTGTGGACACTAAGATAGATACACCAAAATTCACTAGCTGCCCAAGTGAGAGTGACTACAAAAAATATGGACTTTGGAATAGACAAAAATGGGGTTCGAATCCTATCTTGCTAAATAACGGTTCTAATAACAGCTTATGTTCGTTGCGTATGCACTATATTCCATGCAATATTTAAATGCTTTTTATGGGAATGATCCTATCTAATCCTCATAACGAGCCTACAGAAAAAGTCCAATAATAATCCCATTTTACAGGAAAAAAAAAAACCTGAATCACAGAGACTGACTAAATAGTGAAGAGCCCAGCCAATCTGGGTCTAGCACTTTCTATTCTAGCTCTAGGGGCTAAGAAGAATCACTTAACCTTTTGAATCTCATTTTTCATTTTTATAGATTTCATGGGGTTATCTGGGAGATTAAATGAGACGATGGCTATCATGTTGCATAGTGACTAGTACATATGTCAGTGGGTGTTGGATAAATATTAGATTCTTTACTTTCTCCCCAACAGTAGTTCAGTTATATTAATTTAACGCGTGTACTAGACTTGACAGTTGTAAGAATCATGCCAGCAGTAATAATAACTCACCTGCATGGGGCACCTACTGTGTGTTAGACACACTACTAAGTTTTTAACTTTTCTCTTCATAGGACTAGGGGGTAGGTTTGAACTTAATCTGTCTGAATTGCTCAGCAGTTTTCTGTCTATCCTTCTATCTTCTTAAATCATATTAAACAATAAATTTATTTTCAGCCCTGAGTATTTTTTTAGCATCTTCAAGCTCTGTCTGAAAAAAGTTAATTCCACGATGTAATAATTGCCTGTTGTACAAAGCTACCAAGAAAAGAGAGCCAGTGACCCCATTGTTTCCCTGAGATGGAGGTGGGCCAAGGGGGGTTAGGGACCACTCGGGCTAGAGGTGGAGCTGGTGAGCTCCAGGTGTTTCCCTCTGTATTTTTTGAAGCTTTGTGTCCACAAGTGGATAGCTCTGGGATGAACTAGAGTCCTCTCTCAGTCTTCCTGCAGGCTTTCGACTAGGAAGCTAAAACAGCA